CTTGCTCGAACCTCAGATGCCTCCTCAAAAACAGCAAGTCCAAATAACTCAGCAAGCTCAAAATCTTTCTTTACCCACACAGCAGCCGGATGGGAACTGCTTTCCCTCCAACCAATTTCAGTGCCAGCAAAAGGCACCGGTTCTGGTGAGAGCAAACTCAGTACACACCAATGGAGATAGCCCGTCGTGCTCGAGTTCGCCTTCTAAACATAAAAACAATTTACGGACGAATTTGATGAGAAGCCAAACGGGTCCCACCGGTTCGCTTGAAAACACGGCCGTCCACCCTTCCAACCCTGTGCAGCAAGAAAGCTATAACAAGGCTGATATGCGGATAAAGAACGAGCTGCTAAACTCGAAGATGCCTGACCAGCCCACCAAGTACAGGATGCTGACAAGTGGCGACCATGTGGATGCTACGTCATCGTCAACCTCGTACTGTCTGGATACAGGTGGCTTGCTGCAGCAGGGTTTTCCGATGAGCGGATTGGACGGGAGTGATGTGCAGTCGCATGGGAAGACCGGGCTTGCTTTTGGGCCGGGAGAAGACAGGTTGACGCCCGATGCTTTGCTTTCGAGGGGTTATGATGCGGGAAAGGATATGCAGAATCTGATGTCTGGTTACGCTGGTAACCCGGGGGAGGTTGAGCCGGATTTGTCGTCTGGGATCAATTCTCAGTTTGGGGTGCCAAATATGCCGTTCAGAGCAGGATGTTCAAATGATGCTGCTGTTAATGAGACCGGTGTGTTGAATGGTGGGGGAATGTGGCCGAGCCAGACACAACGTATGCGTACATTTACGAAGGTCTGTGCATGTCACTCTCTTTCCCTAGTCCCATATTGTTCCTAGCTTTGATCTGTGCAGGTCTGTTTATGATAAGTATGAGTGATGCTGGTGCATATTGTTCCTGGCTTTGGTCAGTGGAGCTAATAGAAGTTGTTTATGCAATCAAATATCTTTATCATTTCTTTACTCAAGTTTCAAGAATTTACAACTTTTTCCAAGTTTCCTCTTATACATTACATCAGTGGTCATCCCCAAAAGAACCTCCAAATAGTTCAAAAATAACCGAACCTCCAATAGTTCAAGAATAACCCAATGAGATGATGGGTCTTTGTAATATTATGAAAAGTTGACAGGTCTAACTATAAGCGTCTTTCCGTCATGTCCACTTATGATTGAGGCAGTATGAGGAAACTTCACCTCACTAGTTGCTTTTCTTCTTTAATGATTTTGCCTTTTCTATTTGAATTTAGATGGCTTTTATTGTAACAACCCAAACCTAGGGTTGTTTTTTCTGAACATTCTTGTTGATATGTCTGTTTTTGTTCTTTGTTTCTGTTCACCTTTCTATTTGCCTAACTCCCATTGAAAATTGTGAAGGTTCAAAAACGCGGCTCTGTGGGGAGAACCATAGACGTGACACGTTACAAGGGGTATGACGAGCTAAGGCATGACCTCGCTCGAATGTTTGGTATCGAGGGCCTACTGGAAGATCCACAAAGAACTGAGTGGAAGCTCGTCTATGTAGACCACGAAAATGATATATTGCTCGTTGGAGATGATCCCTGGGAGTAAGTGCAGTCCAATTCTTGTTCGCTTGGCATTTATTCGATAGCAATGATCTGACATTCTTTATTCTTTATTTGTAGGGAATTTGTTAGCTGTGTCCAGAGCATAAAGATACTCTCATCGGCTGAGGTACAGCAGATGAGTTTGGATGGAGATTTAGGTGAGCAATTGCCTGTCCCAAACCAAGCTTGTAGTGGCACAGATAGTGGCAATGCTTGGAAAGTCCACTATGATGATAACTCGGCAATGTCATTCAACCGATAAGACATATTTTTTTCTTGTAGTATCGTTCAGCTGTATTTATGCTCTGTGCTACCACTCTGTCGAGGCCTCAACTGTTCTTGGTTTGTTTCCTTGTTCAGTTTTTCTAATTTTCTTCATTCCTTGTCTTTATCGACAATTAATTCTGTTTCTCATTCTTCTTTTGTGGAGCGGTGAGTCTGAGCAATTCGGAAAGTGTTTGCTCGAAAGATCACTGTCGAGGATATAGTATTTCTAACTATTGCACATTGTAAATGAACTCACTCTTGCCCAATCACTATGTATATGGGCTGGTTGGTGTATATCGATTGTGTTCAACTGCAGAAAGGTCGCGTAGGTTTCCTTTTGTTCTTTCTTTTTCGTGCCTGATGTTTGAATAGCAAATCAAGGAGAACATCACCGTAAGGCATTTGCTAGTTTAAACCGAAAGCATTATCATGTCTAGAGTTATAAAGCTCGAAAGATCACTGTCGAGGATATAGTATTTCTAACTATTGCACATTGTAAATGAACTCACTCTTGCCCAATCACTATGTATATGGGCTGGTTGGTGTATATCGATTGTGTTCAACTGCAGAAAGGTCGCGTAGGTTTCCTTTTGTTCTTTCTTTTTCGTGCCTGATGTTTGAATAGCAAATCAAGGAGAACATCACCGTAAGGCATTTGCTAGTTTAAACCGAAAGCATTATCATGTCTAGAGTTATAACTGTGGAATTTGCATATTATCCGAGACTGTTAAAATTCCAAAATCTGTGTGCTGCAGCAGCGGCGTTCATTGTTTTACAGTTCAGATTGTTTTACAGTTCAGTTTGTATGCGATGAAGACTAACTAAATGCATTCAAGTTCAGAATAAAAAACGGCGCAGAAAAGATAAACTAGCAAGTTATAGGAAGAAGAGAAATGGAAGTACCAGCATGTAATAAAAGATGAACAAAAATTGATAACTAGCAAGTGACATTTATAAGAGCTTATTGTCCTAACAATTCAACTAATAAAATACAGGCAAGACTTCCCAAAACCCAATCACAGAGACCCTTG